TTGTTAAATCAACCCAGGCTCACTCTGAAAATGTAGACCCTCAGACGTTTCTGGAGACTGTGAAATACGTCCCGGGAGGTACGTATTTTTGCAGTTTTCGTTTTCCCGAATCCGCGAGAGGCTGCTGTGTACGTTTTTTCTAATGTCAAATGTCTCTTGCGAGTGCCATTCGCGCCCGCGCTGTTCTCGCTTGAAATGCAGCCATACGTACCTCTGGCTACATAATTCGCGGTCTCTAGAAATGTCCACGGGAGTATGTTTTCCGAATGAGCATGTGTTGTGTTAAATGCTCTGTTGGCACATTTTTTATTATAAACTTAAAGCATCAGTGCAATTTATTGACAACATTTGGACAAATTAAATCAAACAAAAAAATGACTGAACATTTGGCAAGATCAGCTTAGAACTCAATATATGGGACAAATCAATTAGGCCCAATAAACAGGACATCCCAGCCAATATGGGACAACCCTAGATACTAGCGATTCAAATATTTCTTCATTAAGATGTGCTACCTACTTTTTGAAGAAGTCTATCAATCTGACAAGGTAGGTCAAATCGACAGAACACTGGCCAAAATGGGACAGTTGACAATCCTATAGCTAGCATGCACAAAGTTTGTGGGTTGTGTTGATGGTGTGTTTTTGTGGATTGACCTCTCAAAGAAAAGGAAACACAGATCAGGGCAGATGATTAGCCATGGGAACTGAACTGGAAACAATGCTGCTTCCTGATCCATGAGAAGCCCATTCTCGGCACTCCACTGTGAGTTCAACACACCACTCACATACTTTAGGTTTCTTCAGGAGCATCTGTTATGGGTGACTCCTGTTTTGTACTATTTGTCGAAGAGTTTGTGCAGATAATTTATTCTGATAAAAGATTACATCCACAGCAGGGGTTTTTAACCAAACCCTCTGCAAATGTTGTTCGTATCTGTTCTGTAACACACACAGCTCAGTTTATGGTGCGCTCTGATAATGAGCTGATAATCTGAATCAGGTTTGTTTGATCATAGAGACATTAAAGTCAGAATAAAATCTCTTATTTTTTATATGTAGTGCTTGTTATAAACAATGTATCTTTACAATTGCTCTTGAAACAACTTTTCTTTACTTCTGGTCACATGGAATGCCTTTAGGGCGGGGCTATCCATCATTTAGGGCGGGGCTATCAGTCCTTTAGGGTGAGGCTATCGGTCCTTTAGGGCGGGGCTATCAATCATTTAGGGCAGGGCTATCAGTCCCTTAGGATGAGGCTATTAGTCCTTTGGGCAGGGCTATCCATAATTTAGGGCAGTGTTATCAGTCCTCTCGGGTAGGGCAATTTATCATTTAGGGTGGGGCTATCAGTCCTTTAGAGCGGAGCTATCAGGGCATGTTCTTGCTCCAGCACAGCTTTTGTCCATTTGTGAATCTTTCCCAATTTTGTTAGCAACACCCATCTTCTAATGATCCAATTGGCTCCAAAAGACCAAATATTGCACCGCCCTTAATTTTTTCTAATTTTAGAGCCATTTTAATAGGACATAGGTCAGGATATTGGAGAAAAAACAACAATCTTAACTTCCTATTCATGCTGACTTTAAAGGGAACCCTGGATATTGAGGCTTCTATGGTTTAATTAATATAATGGTGTCTCTTACTGAAACATGTTGTCACATAACCAGCGATCGTTCGCCAGAGATCGCTGGTTCTCACACGAATACCATGGACTACATATACATACATTCTCTCTGGTCACACTCACGCCTGCTCATTCATCTAGACTGATTACACTCGCAACACCTGAGGACTATCAGAGACTCATAACACACCCTACATAAGCCACTCATTCACCCATCCTGTTTGCCGAGTCTTGTTAATTTGTTGATGACATTACAACGCGTTTCTCCCTGTCTTGTTTCTCCTTGTTTAGACCCAGTCTTGCTTATCCTTGTTATCCTGTTTAGCTGCCTGCCTTACGACCTATAGCCTGTTATATGATTATGATTCTGGATTTGCCTGCATACACTTGTTTACATCTGATTTGACCATTGCTTGCCTGACGCTGAATAAACCTGCATATTGGATCTTACCTCCAGTTGTTGTGTCATCCCCCGCCGTTACACATGTAGTGGACAACCAATGCAAGAGTCAAAGGGATGATTAGGCACTTTCCAATTTTTTTAGGATCAACTTGGGTAAGATTCCAAGTGAGCCGAATATTACCACAAACATGGCACTACACACTGCTGATCAACTGACCCTTTGCTAAGCCACACCCCAAAACCGTCACACATCAATCATGGTTTAGCAACCAGGAGGTCTGTCAAGCTTTCGAGCAAGGAAAACAAGCCAAAGCATTGTGCATATGGATTGTGCAAATCTGACACCAGGTATCCTAAAAGTTTGGACGGGGTGGTGGAATTTTTTCCCTTTTCAAAACCAAAAACCCAAGGGAAGAAATGCCAGCATGAATCAAGCTCTGTAAGAGGCACTAAAGAAGCGGAGTTAAGTTGATTTTGTTTTCGATATTGCTGACACATTCTGTGATAGACGGCAATAACTCACTCACCTCTTGCCCTAAAAAGATCTAAACTGGGTTTCCTACAAACATACAAAAAAGATTATGTTTCACAGCTGTCTTTTTCCTTTTTATTCACTTGATATTATGAACACTGCTCCGTTTAAGCCCTCGCCATAGAAGTCATACTAATAGCAGTCATATCTGTTTCAAGCTACGGATACATATCAACAGAACAAAACTGAGATATGATCACAAACTTAGCACTTGCGATCAATATACTTCACCCGCAGCTGTTTTTCAGTCATTTATAACCCTCATGTCCATGTCAGAGCTACCTTTGTTTCTATCGGTCTTTTGGAGATTCAGTCGTTGGTCTGATTAATATTTGCTGGTAGGGAAAATCTATTTGTTTACTTCTGCTATTTATACTTTGATTTGCATTTCGATTTATTTATTTTTTCCACTGAAAATTAGAATAGAAATGAAAATAGAATAGAAAACGAGGAGTGGGGGTAAGGGGAAAGGCTAAGGGGTAGAATTGGGATTGGGCCTAAATAGTCGGTTAAAATTGCTGTGCTTTTCCACGACAAATTACTGTGATGTTTCAAAGAGCCAAAATGTGAATAAATGCCAGGTAGAAATAAAGCAGGTCAATATGCTGTTTAGAAACAAGTGTGTTGTCAGTCATTTTCTCTGTGAATTACCAGCATTTTGGAAATAATTGAAAACTTTAGTGTGTATGCAGAGCAATTTTTAGATGAACATGCCATTTCAATTCATCTGGATTGGTGTAGATGTAGTCACAGTTTTCCAACATTTACAAGAATTTCAACCAAAAGCCTTCATCAGCAGAAAGAAACTAAATACTAGACTGTTAAATATGTCCGTTAAATTAATAATTTCTGTATTTTGCATTTTACATTTGCAATTTTCCCATTTATTGTACAGTTATGAATTGCATTACAGGACGTTTATCTCTGTTCTGCCAAATTCTGATGTTGTTAATTAAATGTAGTTTAATAGTGACTTTTGAAAGTGAAGTTTATTAACATTTCAATAGTTTGAAACAAAATAATGTATAAGAAATCATTCATTCATTACAGCGGAATGAACCGCCAACTTATAAGCATTTGTTTTATGCAAAAGATGCCCTTCCAGCCACAATCCATCTCTGGGAAACCCATACACACTCATTCACATACATACATACACTACGGACAATTTAGCCTACCCAATTCACCTGTACCTTATGTCTTTGGACTGTGGGGGAAACTGGAGCACCCGGAGGAAACCCACGCGAACACAGGGAGAACATGCAAACTCCACACAGAAATGGCAAATGACCCAGCCGAGGCTCGAACCAGTGACCTTCTTGCTGTGAGACGACAACACTACCTACTGCACCACTGCATTGCCTATAAGAAATCATTTATGGAGAATTAAGTCTGTAAAATACATGCAGGTAGTTCATTACCAGGTGTTTGTACTGTAATTTAAAACACCAACTAAGCCAATATATCACTTCAAACTATAAAAAATCTCAATAAAAGTGACTTTTTATCACTTTTTGACATCAACAGTTGCTGGTGAAACATAATTCAATTCAATATTCAATCACAAACTACAGAAAACTATACATTTATGTTAATTTTTACCAGAGTAGACTAACCTTTGCTGAGGATTACGTTGTGTGGAAAG